CTTCAGGCCTGGCTTGTGGCCACAGCCCTTGGTCCGGCCGGGGTATTTACAGGGGTCACTGAAGGGCCTCGGGGCCTGGCCCGGGTCCAGCACGGCCTCTCCGTTGTCAGGGGTGGTATAGGGCAGCCCCTCCGGCCCAGTCCTCGGGTTCAGACCCACAGGTGGTTTACACCTGAAATTCCAGCCCCACCGGACCCCCCCAAGGAGCCAGTCCCCTGGCGGGGTCTCGTCCTGGGCCACGGCGGGGCTGGGCTCCCCCATGTCCCGCTCGGGCCGGGCGGGCTCTCTGAGCCCCAGCACAGGGTCCTGGCCGGGGAAGGCGCCCCCCTGGCTCTCCCAGGCGCCTTCCTGGACGGGACTGGGGAAGAACCTTGTGGCTTGGCCCGGTCCAAACAGGGTCCCGTGGGCCTCTAGGTCAGTAGGGTGCACTGGGGTGGCCACCACCTCCTCTTCCTGGACTTCGGTTTTTATCACAATTTTTACATCTGCTGAGAAAGACAAGAAAGACCAGTTATCATTCTGTCCCCTGGCCCGCTGAGCGATTAGCGGGTCCTTTCATCAGGAGATTCAGCAGCTCCTCCGCCCCTCTACCAGCAGCTGAGCCCCGGCTGCCAAGCCGCAGGATCCAGCACATCACAGCGCCCCCAGGTGGCCGGGAGGCTGCTTCAAACCCTTCCTGAGGACACCCCTGTTCTAGAACCTTCACGGAAAGTAAAGCAACCATCCCATCTGCTCACTGGGTTCCATTTCTACTTCGGCTGCTAAGGCTACTCAAGAATTTATCTTGAGGAAAGAACTCTGACCACCGGTGGCAGTGTCTACGAGGGGCAAAGGCACCGGGTTGGGACTCAGGAGGATCTCACGTGGCACTGGGGCTTCCCTGGATGCAGGATAATTTTTTTTTTTAATCCTTAATGTTTTTATTGATTTAGAGAGAGGAAGGGAGGGGGAGAGAGAGAGAGAGAAACACTGATGGGTTGCCCTCCATACACGCCCCAACCAGGGATTGAACCTGCAACCTAGGTATGTGCCCTGACGGGGATTTGAACCTGCAACCCTCTTGTTTTTTTTTGGTGTACAGGATGGTGCTCCAACCAAGCCACCCAGCCAGGGCTGCAGGATAAACCAACAGCACATCTGTGAACACCCCGGTCACAGGGCTGTATAAGGGTTACACCAGGTAACACGTCTGAAGGCACCTCGCATGCTATTCAGCAAGCAGCAAGCATCCCATAAATGTGGCCAGCTGGCTAATCATACAAATATTAGTAAAACAGTAAGGATGTGATTTGATGTAAATGTACTTGAATTTCATTTCCTGAAGTTTTATATCAGGGATCTAGGTTTTTAGCACATTTTTGGAGTGCTAAAATAGAAAGTAACAGATAACGGGCCTTCAAAATAAAAGTGAATAGAAAAATAATACATAAATTTGCAAGTTTTCTTCCCAATTCTGGCGTTTGGACACCTGTCTTTGGTCGTACTGATACCTAAGAAGTGCTCTGGCTTAGTTTTTTTTCCCCATGCCAGAGAGGAGCCAGGTCCCGAGTCTGGGCAGGAGGTGCACCCTCTCAAGGGATCAGCCTATGAGCACATAAGAGCGAAGCCCGGCTGAGGCAGCCTCCAGAGCAGATGCGAGCCTTTTCCGCCCATCCTTTGCCACCTGTACCTTCCGTGGAAGCTGCTGTGTTGAGCTTCAGGGTCCCGTCTGAGCATGCGGAGGAGGGGTGGTGAGGAGGGAGATCCGCCTGCCAGGAAGTCGGCGGGATAGTGGTTGAGAAGCTGGAGTGGACGCCTGCAATGAAGAGACCAGAGCCTGTGGGTTAGAGAACAGAAGTGGCAGAAAAACCTCAGGGGACAGGAGGAGCAGGCAGATCCCAAGACCCCACCCTGGGCTTTCTGTACAAACGTAACGACCCCACTGCTCTTGCACCCAGGTTTCTTTTGCTCCCCTCTTGGAGGCATCAGGAGGCTCAGACGTGAATGACTTATTTCATGCAGCCCCTCATTAATATAAGGCAACTGGTGACTTAAATGCCCAATGCTGGGGGCAAGAAAAGTGTGGCTGATGAAGGTGAGGCAGAGAAATACCAGGACCAGAGCATCAGTAAATCCAGGGGGGCCCAGGGTGTCCTTCGGTGCAGGCCCTCTCTTCAGGTGGGGAACATTTTAAGCAAGTCAGGCCAGAGGTTTGAGAGCGCATAGCTCCCACAATTCGACTTCCAGGAGCTCCTTCCCCCAGGGCCTGCCCTGGCCTCTGCCTCTCATTCCTGGAGTCTGTTCCCAGTCTGAGCTACTCACCAGAAGCAGCATCTGTAGAGACGTCTCCTGCTCCAGAGTCCAGCTGGCTGAGGCCCCACGGCTCCTCCCCGATATCTGGCTGTCCAGCTGCCCACGCTTCTACCCCTAGAGCTTGCTGTTCCTGGAGCTGGAGCTCACCCTCCTGCTTGATCTGCATTAAGAGGTCAGGGGCAGGAACCGGGGCTCCGGAGCCTAAGAAAGGGAGAGCGTGTAAGCACAGCGTCAGGGACCGCCGCCCCACGGTGGGGACAAGCTGGCCAAGGAAATGGACCGCACAGAGGTCACACAGCAAGAGAGCCTGGTAGTAAGTAAGGGCAAACCGGGCCTCAGGGACTCCTGGGCAAAGCATGGCATTGAGCACATGGGGAGGGGAAAGACTGAGGGACACACCAGCGCATTCTCAGGGCTAGACCACTGGTGCACGGGGAAGACAGCTGCTCCAGGGAGATTCTGCTCTCACTTTAAACACACACACGTATTTAAGTGAGCACAAAAGAAAGATTCTAGGTATGAGAATCAAAGAGCAAACACAAAGTCAAATTAAGAGTTCAAGTGGGAGCCAGGAAATTGTTGGGACAGGATGCAGACCTTAGGGGCTGGGGCTTTGATATCTATGTGAGGCAAGAGCGGACCTGAACTGCCTGATGAAGCCAGGAGCCCCAAGGCTCTGTCCCAGCTGTGAGATGGGGACCAGGAAAAATCTACCTGAGGGGCCATAAGGAAGCTGCCTTCTTGTCCAGGGCCATGGGTGGGAAAGCCACCCATAAGAAAACCAAATCCCATGCCCACACTGAATTCATACTGCCCACAAGGTGCAGAGACCCTAACCTGAGAAATTCATGGGAAGACTGACTGAGAACCACGGCAACCTGGGAGGCCCAGCACAGGCAAATGCAAACTTGCCCCACAGGAGCCCTTACTAAAAAACTAAACTTACAAATCAGAATTAATATGAAAGATACTGTAAGTATGTCCAAAACAGTCAAATAAATAAAGGGAAGAACAGAATTTCTAAGGCAAGAGCAGGAAATTATTTTTTAAAAGGCAGATCTTAAAAAGAACTAAATATACTTGTCATTCTATGAATGACAAAATAAATGAAAAACTCAATGGATGGCTTAACAATAGAACTAACACAGCTAGAGAGAAGATTGGTGACTTGGAAAATGGATCTGGGGAAATAGTCCACAGCACAGCACTGGGAGATAAAAAATGAAAAAATGAAAAAAATGAAAGGGAAGTAAGAGACATGGAGGACAGAGTGCGAAGTTCCCACACATGCTGGTAGAAATCCGAGAAGGAAAGAACAGAGAAGTGAGCAAAGAGGGGAGGGATACATATGTAAGAAATAATGGCTGAGAATGTTCCCAAATTGAAGGCATTATCCCCACAATTTGAAGGAACACGCAAATTCCTAAGTAGGAAATAAGAAAATACAAACCTCGACAATGTTCTATAAAATGGAATAACAGCAAAGACAAAATATTAAAAGGTACCAAAGAGAAAAGAACAATATTTGGACTGAAAGGAGATTTCCATTGGCAAACAGGGCATCAGAAGATGATGAAAATCTTCGAAACGCTGAGGGAAAATATCTGTCAACTCATTTTATGAGGCCAGTATCACTGTGCTTGCACAAACTTGAGAACAGTATATAATAAAATTTGTAAGAGCCCTGGCTGGGTGGCTCAGTCGGTTGGAGCATCGTCCTATACAACAAAAGGTTTTGGGTTCAATTCCCAGTCAGGGCACAAACCTAGGTTTTGGGTTCGATCCCTGGTATGAGCACATATGGGAGGCGACCGATCAGTGTTTGTCTCTCACATTGATATACGTTTCTTTCCCTCTCCCCCTCTCCCTCTCTCCCTGTCTCTCCCTCTAAAAATCAATAAAAACATATCCTTGAGTGAGGATTAAAAAAAAAATTATAAGATAATCTCCTTTATAAATGGATATGCCAAGATTCTAAGTGAAAGAATTACAAACCAAACCCAGTATTATATTTTCAACAAAGAGATGATCCCGGCCGGTGTGGCTCAGCAGCTGAGCATCGACCTATCGCCCAGGAGATCTTGGTTCGATTCCCAGTCAGGGCACATGCCCGGGTTGCGGGTTTGATCCCTGGTGGGGAGCATGCAGGAGGCAGCTGATCAATGACTCTCTCATCATTGATGTTTCTATCTCTCTCACTCCCTCTCCCTTCTTCTCTATGAAATCAATACAGATATATTTTAAAAAAATTAATAACAAAATACAATCATCTCAACAGATGGAGAGTGGCACTGAACGCTTCCATTTCTGGTATACAGCCAGGTGTACAGAGAAGTCCCTCCCAGTAAGGAGTATCTAGAAGTGCTGGGTAAACTATAAAAAATTCAAAAAAAAAAAAGCAAAGCATGATGACCTAGAAATAAAGTAAAGAAAATAAACAAGGTCAGGACCTCTGAGAAAGCCTAAATCACCCACGGTCAATTGTATGGCATCTCCCGACCCCCTACTGCCTGGGCTTTAACGGATGCTGTGCATCTGGGGCAGAGGAGTGTAAAAAGCAGGGGCTCAGACAGGGTGGGCTGAAGACACCCCCCATCACACACATAACCCTGGACACACACCAAAGGGCAACATTCCCAGTGGAACAACTTAAAACAAAAGCGAAAACCTGCCCTGCAGAAGGAGCCTGCCTATTCTAACCTTGGCTATATGCTGTTTATGAGAGAGGGAATGCAAAAGCAGTGGAAAAAAATAAAGATATACTAAGCCAAAATAAACATAAAAAAAAAAAAGATGTAGTTACACCACGGCAGATGAAAGAGACTTTAACAAGAAAAATGTTCATAGAAACAAAAAAGTATTGCACAATGTTAAATTGACCTAGAAGATAAAATAATCCTAAAATTTTAATCTAATAACATAGCTTCAAAATAATAAAGCAAAACTGATGGGACTCCAGAGAAATGAACACATCTACCTTCTTCGTGGGGAATTTCGAAAACACCTCTTTCTGTAATGATAAATCTTACTGACTAAAGGTTACAGGAAATTTGAACAACACTATTAACAAACCTGAGCAAATGGACATATGTAGAATCTGAAGGGAAGGAAAACATAAGCCACACAGAACATTGAGGAAAACAGAAAAGATTCGTATTTTATGCACCCATTTTCTAACTACAACACTATTAAATTAAAAATCAATAACAGGTATCTCCAAACTCCCCATACATATTAAAAAAAATTTTTTTTAACTATGTATTTGCTTTCTAAATAATCCAAAGCTCTATGGACAAATCATAATAAAAATGAGAAGATATTTGAAACCCAATGCTAATGAAAATATTGTTTATCAAAATACGTGGGCTGCACCTACAATGGTACTTAGAGGAAATTTTATAGCCTCGTGTGTTTACATTAAAACAGAGGAGATAGGTTAAAAATCAGTGGCCGGGTAGCTCGGCTGGCTGGAGCATCTTCCTGTGCAGGTTCCATCCCCCATCAGGGTGTGAGCAGAGGTAACCAATCGATGTTTCTCTCGCATCCATGTTTCTCTCTCTCTCCCCCCCCCCCCCCCCCCCCCCCCTCTCCCCCCCCCCCCCCCCCCCCCCCCCCCCCCCCCCCCCCCCCTCCCCCCCCCCC